CCACCACGATAGAATTCGCGTAAACTAGAAAAATCTTATTCTACTAGTCGAGAGCTTCAAGAAAATCACCATCTTCAAAATTCCCACTAGGGAGGGGGGGGGATACCCCTCCCCCTTGTTGGCCCACGGTCCACCGAGAGTATCAAATTCAAATTCCGAAAAAACCGAGGAAAAAGCCTGATACGGGTGCGTGGTCTGGGACACCATATATGATAAATAATCAAGGTCAACAGCAACACCGGATGTTTGCACTTTTTGGATACTGAGAGATACGTTCTAAAAACACACTCTTGAGAGGAGATAGAAGTAAAGGAGAAAAGAAAATTAAAAAGGTAGAGGTATATGAAAGGGGAAAGAAGATTGAGAGAAAAAGGAGAAAAAAGAAAAATCCTATCCTACATATGTATAAATCATAGAGTACAATAGAGTCGCAAAGTACTGGATCGCTGTTGAAGTCACTTTTGGAGGCTGTTTTGTCCAGTTCTCTGGAGACTGGTGATGACGCATACGCAGAGACTCGCGCTCAGCGCTCCCCACTCCCGACTCGGCTCCGTTCGTCGGCTAGGTCCACACACATTGAACCAGCTAAGTAGGCCGGTAATAAGTCTGAAATTGAATCCATAAATGAATATTATCCAGGAGTAACGTACATTCATGGATTCATTATGGCATTGAATATCTAAATATAGCAAAATTTGCACAAATTAATATAGATGGAATTAATAAAAGTCGAAAAAACGCAAGCAGTTGTTGACTTCTCCATAAGCCACCGTGTTAGAAATGCCGGTTGGTTCACACTTTGTATGAGTCAGAAATTAAATCCCTGCATGAATAAAATCCAGGAGTAACTGTTGGATAGCCTGGGTTGGTTACCCAGCACAGGTTGGCAACACTGCCCTCAGAGGGTCAGGTGACCACAATCGTCATGACGTCAGCGGATCATCAGGTTGTGATACCAGTGTTACCGTGTCGTGTTCATTCCCTTTTTATTTTATAATAAATATGAATATCGTTTTAACCGAGTGTTCGCTTATTCAGATATTATCCACACTAAACATGGCAACGAGGATGTAAACGGGGATTCAACGAAGCGCAGCAAAAAATACGGAGGTGCGCGTCGTGAACATGTCGTGAACCGGCACAAAAGGCCTAAATTCAACCATGGCCTCGCGCTCGGTATTTAAGTGAATTTAAGTGCAAGGCATGTAATTTCGCTAAAAATGTTCAATTTTAGTGTATCGATCAAGTTCGAAAATGACTTTTAGTTTATCGATTAAGTTCGAATTTTAATTTCTCAACTGCACATGGGTCAATTTCTTCTAAGTTCATGATAATCTGTGTCGTTATCAACCTTCACTAATTGCAAGGTAATCATTGTTCGGACGGTACAATGGAATTTCTTACAAAGCCAGAACCACTGGAAATCAATGATAATATCAAAGAGAATTTTGAAAAGTTCAAAAGACGTTGGAGAAACTACGCTCTTGGCGCCGAAATCACCGAGAAATCCGAAGAGGTTCAGAAGGCCATTTTCCTTAACCTCATCGGATCCGAAGCAGAAGAATTTATCAACTCCCTTGCTCTCACTAGTAACCAGTCTAAAACTGTCGATCTTCTAGTCAAAGCTATCGATGAGTATGTCAAAACCAGGACAAACGTGGTATTTTCTAGATACCAGTTTTTCACAAGATCGCAGAGAGACGGTGAGGATTTTGAAACGTTCCTCCTCTCACTCAAGAAGCTGGCTGACAATTGTAACTTTGATGAGCTGAAAACATCGCTCATCCGTGATCGCATCATCATTGGCATCTCTAATTATGAACTTCGCCAACGCATGCTCGGAGAGGAATACGACTTCGATAGGACGGTCAAGCTATGCAAGTCAGTCGAGTCTGGGAAACTGCGGGCAAAGGAAATCAACGATCAAGGGACATCATCCACAACTGAGGTCAACTGGGTCAGCAAACCGTATTACAGCCGAAATCAACAGCCAAGCTGCAGCTCAGGTACTGGAACTACAACTAAACAGCCGATCAACTGCCAAAATTGTGGGACTAGCCATCCTATCAACCAATGTCCAGCGTTCAAGAAGCAATGTAATTACTGTAAGCGTCTTAATCATTTTTCCTCTATGTGTAGATCTCGGAATAATTCTGTGTTACCTAATTCCAATGATAAAATGGCACCTTCTACAGCTAATTCCAAAGCGGCTGATCTAGTCAATGTCCATTGTCAGTGCTCATGTTCTCCAAACAGTATCTCTAATCCGACTGAAATTTCAGATATTCATGCTAGTGATTATGTTTACATTTCAGAAATCTCCGTCCAACCAACTTTTAAATTGGAGCATTTTACTAATCAGTCTATATCCAGTCAGCTTGAGGATCATTCAACTATCGATCATCAGCCTAATCAATTTAATTTTGATGAGTCAGTTAAGCAGTCTGTCAAAATTCATAATGTGTCAAATATTTCCAAATCCACAGATAAGTGCTGGATGGAAAATTTAATCATTAACAATAACACGGTCAGCTGTAAGTTAGATTCGGGAGGAGAAGTTAATGTTTTACCACGTCAAATTTTCGACCTGATCATAAAATTCAACAAATGTGATTTTACCCAATCGTTCAGTTGTTCTAGGCTACGGAGGTGCTCAGATTGATTCATGTGGGTATGTGGTGCTAGATTGCAAAATTCCTAATCAAAATCAAATTCATAAACGGTACTTCACCGTTGTTAATACTGGCACTACTCCTCTTCTAGGTCTATAGTCCTGCGTAGATTTAGGTTTTATCACCAGGAATCATGTGCATGCTCTAGTCAGAACCAAAAATCTAAATAAAGTCGTACAACGCGATCTTTCCCTAATTCCATCTTTTAGAGATAAAACCGGAAAAAGCTAGTCACTCGTCAAAGTAAACTGTAGTATCTCTGATTCATTCTGCAATAAATTTCAAAGAAATTTCATGTTAATTTTAAGTGCTCTTCATCATTCTAAGTAATGTCATATTTATAAGTGACTAACAATTAGTTTACTCAATCTAATTAAGTCATGTTATACTTAACAATAAAATCCACATAACTGCGATTTAATAATTTCAATGGGATTCTGAACACAAATGCTTCAAATCTCTTAATTGTCTCTTGATTTCGGAATTGCAAATCATTTGATAGTTGTCTAATTTCAATTTCTCTACATAACTGCGATTAAATTACTTCAATGAGATTCTGAACACAAATGCTTCAAATCTCTAATATGTCTCTTGATTTCGGAATTGCAAATCATTTGATAGTTGTCTAATTTCAATTTCTCTACGTAACTGCGATTTAAGTACTTCATGGGATTCTGAACAAAAATGCTTCAAATCTCTCACATCTCTTTTGATTTCGGAATTGTAAATCAATTGGAAAGTTGTTTAATGTCCTGGCTAATACATGTTAACCACAGCCTATGACTAAATACAGTTAATTTCAGTAATATTTGTCGATTTCAGAACTGCAAATCGTTCAAATCTATGTGAACTCATAAGCATTATAACTTCAACCAAATTCTGAGATCAAACGTCATAAATTGATTGGTTCCATAAATTCAAATTAATCGAATAAATACTGTGTCAGTTTTCTGTCAGTGTACAAGTTCTAATTCCTCAATTGTAACTGTTAAACCTTTTAAAAAACTATTCTTCATGTATAATTTTAAATTTCACTGATGAAAATCATACACCTCTGGAATATTTTTGACTTGGGCTCTACTCCTTCAATTTCTTCGTTTGTGTTTGCAAAAGGGAGTAAAGTGTAAGGAAAAAAATAGAAATTGAAAACGGGGAGGTGTTGGATAGCCTGGGTTGGTTACCCAGCACAGGTTGGCAACACTGCCCTCAGAGGGTCAGGTGACCATAATCGTCATGACGTCAGCGGATCATCAGGTTGTGATACCAGTGTTACCGTGTCGTGTTCATTCCCTTTTTATTTTATAATAAATATGAATATCGTTTTAACCGAGTGTTCGCTTATTCAGATATTACCCACACTAAACAGTAACATACATCAATGGATTCATTATGGCTTTGACCATCTATTAATAGCAAAATTTGCACGAAATAATATCGATTGAATTAAAAAATGTCGAAAAAACACAAGTAGTTGTTGCTTTTCCTGTAAGCCGCCGTGATAAGAAATGCTGGTCGGTTCACACTTGGTTTAAGTCTCAATTTACGTCCCTTTTTGAATATTATTCAAGAGTATGATACATTAATGGATTCACTATGGCTTTGACTACCTGTTTGCAGCAAAATTTGCAAAAATTAATGATGATTGAATTAGAAAAGTCGAAAAAACACAAGCAGTTCTTGATTTCGCCATAAGCCACCATGATGATAAGTGCCGTTGGGTTCACACTTGGTTCACACTTTTCGGAGCACAAGCGGCTCGGAAAGGCCCGTTAATGGATTGACTTCATCGGCGCTCCAGTACATTGCGACTCTATTGTACTCAATGGTATCCTACCTATTCACACAGTCTGTGTTGGCAAATTCCAATCCGTCACAGCTGATTTTCCTAAGAATCGCGTTAACTCATTTAACTTTTGTAATATTGTACAACATTATACAGGGTTTTCCAAAAGTCCCCTAACACCCCTGTAACTTTTTCCCTTATTAAAATAGAAGTTTTAAACTTCGGCAATGTTCCTCGGTCTAAAATAGAAACATTTTGGTCCCCCTAAAATTTTGAGGCGCCCTCCCCCCCCACCCAAGGGGGGCGGGAGCTAACTTTATTTTTCGAAAGGCAACCCTCCTTTTGATATACCTCATTCGAAAGATAATAAAAAAAGAAAATTTTTGGCGCAAACCTCAGGTCAAAATGTTGATTTTTGACCAAATGGCGGCCAGTCAAAGTTCAAAATGGCGAAAATTTGGCATCTCCGTTCCTTATCGGTAGATTTGTCTGAAACTCAGAAGCTTAGAGGTTTTCGGGACGAGAAAAACGATTCTGGCATTAGTTTTCCAGAAATGTCAGTCCTTTTCGAAATGGCGGCTTAAAGCGGGAAGTGGATATTTAGGCTGCTTATCGTTAGATTTATATGAGACTTGGTATCCGGGGGTATTTCGGCACGAGGAGAAAGAATCTCTCATTGAATTTTTGAAATTTCGAACAACTTTAAAAGGGCGACGAAAAAAATACGGGATATCCATAACTCGGCTGTTTACCGATGGATTTGCACGGAAGTCGATACTCTGGTGGTTTTCGGCTCGAAAAAAATGAATCTTTCATTAGATTTTTGAAATACTAAATACTTTAAAAATGGCGGCGGAAAAATCAGTGTTATGGCCGGTGATATGGATTTCCCGTAATTTATTCACCGACTTTTTAGTTTTTCGAAATTTCAAAAATCCAATGAAAGATTCGTTCTCTTCGTGCCGAAATACACCCGGATACCAAGTCTCATACAAATCTAACGATAAGCAGCCTAAATATCCACTTCCCGCTCTAAGCCGCCATTTTAATCTGCCACCATTTTGAGAAGGACTGACTTTTCTAAAAACTAATGCCAGAGTCGTTTTTCTTGTCCCGGAAAACTTGAGGATTCTGAGTTTCAGACCAATCCGACGATAAAAAACGGAGATGCCAAACTGCCGCCATTTTGTCAAAAATCAACATTTTGACCTGCGGTTTGCGTCAAAAATTTTCTTTTCTTATTATCTTTCGAATGAGGCATCACAAAAGGGGGGTTGCCATTTGGAAAAAAAAGTTGGCCCCCGCCCCCTTAGGGGCCGCCCCTCAAAAATTTTGGGGGGACCAAAAAGTTGCTACTTTAGACCGAGGAACATTGCCAAAGTTTCAAACCTCTATCTTAATTAGGGAAAAAGTTACAGGGGTGGTAGGTGACTTTTGGATAACCCTGTAATTATACAACCCAATCTTAACTGATAAAACCATCATGGCTAACAGGCCGGGCATACAGCTAGTTGTTAATTAGCACAAGCCCGCGGCTTACGTGCTCAGTATTACTATCCCAAAAAATCATAACCCAGAGCTAAAATGTCAAGAATAAATTTTTTAATTTTTTTGTTTTGTCAGTTTTACAATTTTGGCACGGAAGGCACTACAGTCAGGTCTACCAAGATCATACCTCCAAGAGCCTATCTCACAAACTACAGAGCAGGCAGCTCCTTCTGGAGACAGAGGGCTTTAAACTGGCCATCCAGGATTAACACTCGGCAGCAATAATTCTCATTTTAAGTGCTGCGTATAAACGGAGGAGGCATTGTTTGTGAAAACACACTCTAATTATCGCCTCATGATGGCCGATTTATGGACTGGCCTTGTGTTTCTTATGATTGTTTGGTGGACAGGAAGTTACTTAAGCTTTATTGATTTTAGTTTAAACACCCAACACTAATATTTTACTGCCAATTCATACAAAAATATTTTCAATATGGTCAACATGCATTGCTGAAAACTTGGTGAAAAATTATGCCTGGCCATGCTTTAATTCTTACTGCTCAATGGTGCACAATCTTTGCAGCATTGAAAATCTATTGGATTTTTCTGGAAAATGCAGTCCAAATTCGAGGTTTCTAGGCTGTTCGAAATCATCTACTCTCATTATTGTGCCCCCTTCCCTTCCACTTATACCTTTAGAGACCACATTTGTAGCAAAGAAAAAAAAAGAAAGAAAGAAAGAAAAAAAAAAAAAAAAAAAAAAAAAAAAAAAAAAAAAAAAAAAAAAAAAAAACTTACCAGGCGGTATGAATTCAGTCTGGCTTTGTGTGGAGCATCACAACCTGAATGAGAACCAACTCCTTTTACTTCATAATGCTCACATTCCAAGACAAGGCCGTTTTCAACGGAGTCATCAATCCCTGTAGAAAAAGACAAATCAACCACACCCAAAAGTCCGGTCCACCCCCTCTAAAATTTTACCTGATGTATATTTTGAAACGATGCTTTGGACATGTTCATGGATCAATGAAAGCTATTGTTGAGGCCCCTCGAAATTTTCGGGGCCATACATTGAGAAGGATGCGGCCACTAACATATTTTTTTTTTTTCAAACGACAACCACCTATTTGTGATGCCTTAATCGAAAGAGTATAAAGTAAAAATAATTTTCGAGCTAACTGCTGGTCGCCATTTTGATTTTTGACAAAATGACGGCCGGTCAAAGTTCAAATTATGGCAGATCAAAATCTCCTTGGATTCGAGTGAAACTTAGTTCTCGGCGGTTTTTGGACACGAGGAAACCAAATTCGGCACTAGTTTTAAGGAAAATTGATGAACAATGGCTCACATCCTCATTTTTCGTAAGTGCCTGCCATTTGGAAGAGACGAACGATAAGAAAAACTAACGCTGGATTGAGTTTTTCGTGCCAAATAACCCCTGAATTCCTGTTTTATTGCAAATTCATGGGTAAAAAACTTGCAGTTTCCCCACAAACGAAAATTTGAAAAAATGGGCTCTTTCGAAAAACGAATGCCGAATCCGGGCTTTTCGTGCCAAAAAAACCCCCGTCACCAAGTTTCACCCGAATCTTAGGAGATTTTGCTTTGCCATGCTTTTGAATTTTAAACGGCCGCCATTTCGTTAAAAGTAAAAGTGGTGACTTGCGGTTAGCGCAATTTTTTTTTATATCCTCTTTTAATTACAATATCGCAAGGGGGAGGGGGGGGGGTTGCCATCTGAAAAAAAAGTTGGGATCCGCAGCCCTTTCTGTGGGGCGCCCTAAAAGTAGCTCACATTGATCAAAGAACGTACCCAAAGTTTCAGAGTATAAATTAGGTAAAATTTTAGAGGGGGTGGACCGTACTTTTGGGACACACGGTATACATTGTGTTTCCGGCTCCTTTCCCGTTAGTTTCACCGAGGGCACATATGTCTATTTTCTTTCCTTCGATTTCCATAACAATTTCTTGGTCCTTCTTCCTCACGATGTCGAATCGGTGTCAATCGACACGAATCGATCAACACTGATTCGTTCGACATGAACGATCAACACCGATTCGACTGACACCGTTTCGGTTGACAAATTATTAAAAAAACCAGTGTCGATTCGATCGAAAAACGAAAAGGTGAATCGATCGACGTGAATCAATCGACACCGTTTTAGCTCAATTTTCCATTGTCTATCAATCTTCAAGCCAGAAATCCATTATCAATCCATGATACCAAGACTGTTTACTTTGCCTTGAGCGGACTGGGTTTTTACNGGGGGGGGGGGGGGGGAGCTTGGGGTGCAGCGAAAAACTTCGCTTGACGGCTATATCGGAAAAGTTGCCTCTCGTAATATAAACAGACCTGTGTTATTTCTTCTTCCAAAATTCTAACACCTTCCAGTGGCACGGTCCATCTGAAGTTTCGAATTTTACAAAAAAATACGTTTTTTCACCTGAACAACGGGCTAGCACCGATTGATTTCTACTTTACGTCTTGAAACTGACGTATCCACATGATTTTGATGAGCCAAGTTCATTTATGACAATTGCAATGTTGCCAGAAATACGTAAATTGTAAAATTTTTAATTGACGCCGAACTGCACATTATTTGTAAAATTTGCAATCCCGATGATTGAGGTTTTTGAATATTTGATGAATCCTTTTAGGGACGAAGCAGTCACGCTAGAGACCCGAAAATTTGAGATAATAGCTTCCTAACATACTGCTTTTGATAAAAACCGAACATTTTGCCGTGCAAGACCCGCAAGTATTTTTTAAAAATTCGGAAACCTGACTGAAAACACTGTTTAGGCGCAAATAGGATACATTTCAGCGAGTTGACTGATTTTCAGACCTTGATTTTTCTCGCTCTTTCACGTGGTGTAATCCGTTTTTCCAAATATCATCTACCAAAAAAGTTATCGCAATTTTAAAATTCGGGAATGTTTGTTACGTCATTTCCCGAAGACGTACGTACGTCTTTAAAAACTCGAAAAATAAACCTAAAAAATACCCCCCCTACATCAAGTTTAAGCTACTTACGACAAAATAACGAGGAGTTACATCAATTTGAAAGAAGAAAAATGGCAACTTCGGAAGCGCATAGCTCAATTATGAAGCGTTTTCGGGTATATGTGTACAGGAAAAAGGAGTCATATTTTGAGCCGAAACATCGATCCTGAAAGTTAAGTACGTTAACTTCCGGACACCCTGTATTTAACGATACTTCTGGTCTCTAAATTAATGCTTTGTAACATTATCTGTCTTTGTCGTTTCGCACGTTGCGCGACGGATCCCAAGCCTGGGCTAAAGAGGACGGCTCCAGGGTAAGGCTAGCTACCCTAGGGAGGAGCGAAAAACACTTGTTTTCGAAATCGCTTGACGGCTTTATCAGAAAAGTTGCCTCTCGTAGTACAAACGGACCTGTGTTATTTCTTTTTCCGAAATTCTAACTCCTTCCGGTGGCATTGTCCACTAAAGTTTCGAATTTTACAAAAAAATCACGTTTTTTTACCTGAACAACGAGCTAGCGCCGTTTGATCTCAACTTTACGTTTTGAAACTGAGGTATCCCCATGATTTTAATGCGCCAAATTCATTTATGACCATTGCAATGTTGCCAGAACTACGTAAATCGTAAAAGTTTTAATTGATGCAGAATTGCATATTATTTGTAAAAGAACCCCGCACAGAGCATGAGGGTCAGTGGCTCTCTCTAAAAGTCGATGAGACTTTATAGATTGATGTAATGTTCATAATTAAGAGGAAGCCATAAAATTGGCTCATTTTTGCGAGTAGAATTCGAAATATTCGCAATTGAATCTGGACTATTTTCTATCATGCGGCATGATTCATGCCGCAGCATAGCGGATCCGAGTCCCCTCTCCTCTCGTGTTCGGCGTTCTCGATCAGACCTCACGCGTAGGTAGGTGATAGGTGCTTATACGCTCGGCCGTTGCGAATGCCGTACTCCCTCCATCTCCCCGCATCTGTCACTTCTGTTTCAACAATTACATTTCAGATTCAACCGACCGGCGGCGCCGGTACGAGAAGGGATCGGTCTGCTGCATCTGTTATGATATGAAAGGCGGCGCGGCGCTCCTCATGTTATTCTCAATGGCATTCTCATGTATATCTCTCTCGGCACGTGCGAGGTGCGAGAAGCAGAGAACTCCATATCGCACAGCCCGAACGGAGCGCCCTAATGAAAGGAGTGAGTGGAAACAATGCGACATCGTAGTTACCTGGTGGGGAGAGGGGGTTTCCTGGCCGAAATGCTCCAGCAAGGTAAGGCGACGCGGAGGGCCCAATTACCTCCGCCGCACAGAAAATAGTCCGAGTTCAATCGCGAATATGTCGGCTTCTACTCGCAAAAATGAGCTAATTTTTTGGCTTTCCCTTAATTATGATCTTTATCTCAATCTATTAAAGTTTCGTCGACTTCTAAAGAGAGCAACTGACCCCCATCAGGGATTTAGAGCTGAGGTTTGAGGGAGCATCATAAACGGAGCCGCATCGGCGCGCGAGGCGGAGGCCCGGCGCGGACTTTCATGCCGCTTCGATCAGTGCGCCGGGGGAGCGCATATGCTGTTGAGGCGGCTTCACCTGGTGAAGCCGACTCCCGGCAACTTTTCTGATGCTGCATCAGTTTTGATGCTGAGTCCAGCATCAAAATTAGCGGCTTCAATTAGCAGACGCGTCGGACGCCAGCGCCCCGGCGTGGGCCACCGCGGCAATGGGAAACGTAAACAAAGGGGTGTTCCGCGAATTCATCGCCGAGTCCGAGGGTCGCGGTCTTCTGGGACAGCCCCGTCGGTAATTAAGCTGGGTGGCGGGTCCGAAAATTGAGGCCGTATCGGGCCGCAAGCCGACGGTCCGGCCTCAGAGGCTGAGGCCCATGTTGGTCCCTGAACCAGCATCAAACCTCAGCATCAGCGCTTGAGGCTGGCTCGGTCGGCTCTCCAGCATCGGGCTTCAATGCCCGAAGCCGGCGGCCGGCAGGTTGAGCGCATCAGGCTCGGAGCCGTATGCCCGAACGGCCGCTACCTGGGCATACGGCATTGATGCTGAAGCTACGAGTCGATGCTGTACAGCATAACCTCATGAGGCGCCTCAAATGCCTGACCCCCATGCTCTGCGCGGGGTTCTTTGCGATCCCGATAATTAAGATTTTTGAAAATTTGATGAATTTTTTTAGGGACGAAGCAGTCACGCTAGAGACCCGAAAATTTGAGATAATAGCTTCCTGACACACTGCTTTTGATATAAACCGAACATTTTGCCGTGCAAGATCCGCAAGTATTTTTTAAAAATTCGGAAACTTGACTGAAAACACTGTTCAGGCGCAAATAGGATACACTTCAGCGAGTCGACTGATTTTTTGAAGTTTGAGGCAATATTTCTATCGTCCTAAAAACTCAAGATAGTTGACTTCTGATATACTATTTCTGATAAAAATTACACCTTCGAGCGTACTGGACGCGTAAGTATTTCGAACAGCGTTTTTGGTCAAGTCTTCGAATTTTTAAAAATACTTCCGCGTCTTGTACGCTCGAAAGAGGATAAAGAAATAAAAATTTTCGAGCTAACTGCTGGTCGCCATTTTGATTTTTGACAAAATAACGGCCGGTCAAAGTTCAAATTTGAAGAGCCATAAGACACACATCAGATGTGTAATCACTTGGTTTGGGCCAAAGAAACCTTGAACTACATGAGATCATGTCGGTAAAGCTTGAGAGGTCAAAAGGCTTATAATACTAAATAAATGGTGAACTTCTAACTCTTGAATGAATTCAGGACCACATACCTAAGACAAAGAAACTGCAAAACATTTGATTTGAGGCGAAAATGAAAAGAGAATGGTCAAAAAAAAGTAAAAGAAGAAAGTCTGGATTTGGACACTGGACTTGTAAGACTGATTTTCAGAATGCACCTTAAAATGAGCCGATAGGCCGTGGCTCCTGGTTGTAGAATACGATGAATATTATTGCCAAATGCTTGGTTGAAGTCGAAAATGGATTTAAATTAATTCAAATTAAGAGATTTCGAGTTGTTTGGATCATTTGTGTTATCAATCTTCGTTTGTTTACACGACCCACACACGGCAGAGGCATGCAGAGGTACCTCGCTGGCACGCCGGGTCAAAAGTGTGGCCACCGCCGGACGGAGATAATGGGCGCCATTTTGAGATGGGCCAAGCAGCGCGCGTTTAAATGGGAGCCCAAAATACGGACTTTTGGACTCGTATTTCGTGGGTTAATATTGCTCAAAAAAATCGGGGAAAATTCCTGTGAACTCTGTGCACTCTCTAGTTTCCAAAAATGCAAGAATTACGAATTGCTGAACAAGCTCATCATTGAGGGGGGTCTAGACTAGCCTTACGAGTGCCTTACAGGAGGGAGAGGGGTCTAAAAATCGGAAAAAGTGCCTTATGTAATTTGTGGATGGCCCCTTACACGTCATATGGGGGGGGGGGGNGGGGGGGGGGGGGCGCAATTTTTGGGAGAAAGAAGTAGTCGTGAGTAGAAAAAGGGCCGTTAGAGCCCAACAGAATTCCAATAGCTTTGATTTGAGATCAAATAAGTGACTTTCGGAGCAGAAGCTATTAGAAGCTAAAAATGGGATATGCGCCCTTTAATGGGGGGGGGGGGGGGGGGGGTTTTTTNGGGGTGAGGCTTTTTTCACAGCCTCTCGCCACCTGAATGATCACAAAATAGCAATACAAAATCGGCTGGAAATTTTTTCCTCTATTTACTTTTCCATCTAATGCTTCTGAAGTAGAAGTAAAAATGGAATTTAATTTACTTACATTTTACACTTATCAAAAATTTTCCCATTAAAATTGCTTCTAAAATAATCATTGCAGGTTCACAGTATGTATTCTCACTGGTTTTTAGGATGACATGAGATACATCTTTCCTAGAAACATGAACAGATGACATTTAAATACAGATCACATTTGCACAACCAATATTTGAGTTGAATAATAGAAATTGTTTTGAAGTACATAATTCCAGGGTTATAAGGACAAAATGGGGACACAAGCAAAAGACGGCCTTACCTTAGTTAGGTTACGATCATATAGAGTTCAATACAATAGAGTCACTGTGCACTGGAACGCCGATGACATCACGTTTTCGTCCGGTACTCCTAACACTAGCGTGCGGCAACTGGCGATGCCGTATGCATGCTGGCTCCGAGCTACACTCTGTATTTGCACACAATTTTTGGCATAAAACCCGGGAGTTTCATACGTTCGAGAACTTCTTATGACTTTCCTCAACATGAATAATTCACCAAAATTCGCAATAAAATACGTGGTCTGTCCGGAAAGTATCAGGACTTTTTGATTATCTCGGAATGTAATGCAGATAATGAGCTGAAACTTGGGTTGGACTTTGCCCATGTCCTTTTCAATGCAGCCACACAATCGGGCTTTCACACCTTTAATCAGTCGATTGCAATCAACTGATCAAAGTGTGTGTGTCACAAGTGCTATCGTCGCGTTTTTTTTATTTCGTGGAATGACCGAGCGTGAAGATCAGAGAATTTGTATTAAATCTCGCTTTAATCTAGAAAAACTGCCAAGGAGACCACGAAAATGATTCGGAAAGCTTTCGGCACTGATTCTATGAGCAAGAGCAATATTTATGAGTGGTATAATCGCTTTAAATCGGGTCGTGAAACAGTCGCTAGTCATCTGCGGCCCGGGAGACGTTCGTCGACGAATTCTCCCGATAACGTGGAAAAAGTTCGGGAAGCTATTGCCCAAGACAGTCGGTTAACCGTGCGGGAACTGGAAGAGCAGCTAAATATCCCGAGGACTATCGTTGCGGAAATTTTAACTGAAAAACTCGGGCTCCGTAGAGTGGCATCGAAATTTGTGCCAAAGGTTTTGACAGCTGAGCAAAAGGAGCGGCGACTTTTCATTTCCGACGGGTTACAGGCAACCACTGAGAATGATCCTGAGTTTTGGAAGAAAATCATAACCGGGGATGAGTCTTGGGTCTACGGCTGTGACCCTGAGACAAAAGCACAGTCTCCAGAATGGATCGCACCCGGGACGCCGCACCCCAAAAAAGCACGGCGAAGTCGCAGCAACATCAAGGTCATGCTCACTGTTTTTTTTCGACTACAAGGGTGTTGTGCATCACGAATATGCTCCCCAGGGTACAACCATCACTAAAGAAGCATACCAGGAAACTTTATGACGTTTGCAGGATGCTATCAGACGCAAGCGCCTTGCATTATGGGCAAGCGGTGACTGGATGCTCCAACATGACAAAGCTCCGGCTCATTCCTCCTGTCTTGTGCAACAGTTTTTGGCAAAGCACGGTATTCCTCTGGTTCCACATCCTCCATACTGTCCAGACTTAGCTTCTTGCAACTTCTGGCTGTTTCCAAAGCTGAAATCTCCAATGAAAGGGACTCAATTTGACTCCATCAATGACATCAAAGAGAATACGACGAGAGCGCTGAAGGACATCCCAAAGGAGTGCTTTTTGGACGGTTTTGAAGAGCTCAAAAATCGTTGGAACAAGTGCATTGTGTCTTACGGAGAGTTCTTTGGAGGAGATTGAAGCCACAATGTCAGGTAAGCTCGATTTCTCAAAATCTAAAAAGCCTTGATACTTTCCGGACAGACCACGTATCAATTAAAATTGACTAAATTCCAGAAACTTTGCAGCCTGCAATTCTTCCATAAGCCACCGTGTTAAAAAATGCCATTTGGTTCACACTACGTTGTCACTTTCGACGAAAAAAAGGCTAGGAATGCAGCGTTCAAGGATTGATTTCAGCAGCGCTCCAGTACACAGCGGCTCTGCTGTATTCTACTGTTACAATTTGATAGCTATTATGACAAGGAAACCACATTTGACAGTCACTTTTGATTTGATTTAAGAATCTTACTTTCAGAGCAATGCATAACGTTTGCGCACAATTTTCTTACCGATAACGTTTGCGCACCTTTTCACGAATATCATTTGCGCACACTTTTTACCGATAACGTTTGCGCACACTGCACTATTTGGCAACGCTGCAATGATGCTACGCGTGTCACCTTTTAAGCTTCTCCTTCTTGATTTTGAATCTGCAGCTCACAATTCCGCTAAACATGCTTTTTCAACCGTTAAAATAAGGGGCTGTAGATTTCATCTTGGTCAAAGTTGGTGGCGGCGTATTCAAAAATATCCAAGGCTACGCTACGCATTCACCCGGAAGGAAAAAAAAGGAGAGCAACTGGAACTTCAACAGTGGCTACGTTTATTTTTTTCCTTATCTTATTTGCCCCCCGATGATGTTCCTACTGCATTTTATGAACTGGGCGCAACCACACCTAATGTAAACGGCGTTTCTCAATTTCTCATTGATAGTTACATCCGGCGAAATTGCATTGATACTACATTGTTCCCACCTGATGTGTGGGCAAGTCCTCTCACTTACGACGCACTATGGTCCAATAGTCCGATTTAAGCGGCAATAAATCGGAAAAATGAAGTTTGGAAAAAGTTCGATTTCAAGACGTAAATCGATAGTACATACTGTAAAGCAGACTCCTGTAAAATATCATCTAAATTGAAACACTAATAAAGATGTGACAAGCCTGGGGAGTACTTTTGAGTACGCTTCCAGTTACCGAGCGGCAGTGCTGTGTTTAAGGGCTTGTTTTCGTTGTTTCACCATAACTGAAAGTGTTTGGGTATTTGATTTACAAAATATAAGGTAATTTCTAGATGTTCCATGCTGAAACAATTCTTTTTTATCATGTCTAATGCTCTAGATTAACCTTCAGACATAGTCAGTTTTTTTCAATAAAATCGCAAAAGTACGACCCAAAAAATATACTTTGCACCTCTGAGCACCTCGTAATTTTACTCGGAAGTTATTGTCATGACTCTAGACTACCTTTTAGTCTGAGTGGCAGAACCATAGTCCACCATAGCCTCAAGTTATTTCTCATGAAAAATGACGTTTTCGCGTTTCTTAGCAGTCACTACTATTAGCTATCATATGCCATTGACCATGCATTTTATCATGTTCCACTCTCATATTCTATCAAAACAGATCCTTTAGAGCCTAAATTTACCCAGGCAGAATAATACGAGTTGATGGGGCTGATCGGAAGGAATTGAAACTTATGCTCAAGAACAGCGAAGAATCGCCTCGGGAGGCCACTTTAAAGGTCCCGTAAAAGTTTTTTTTGGCGTTTTACCATGTTTCAAACATATAATCTATCAGAATGGATACATGTAGGCTCAAGTTTAGCTTGGCAGATGAAAACGCGTTCAAAGGGTTGATCGGTGGGACTTGAAAGTAAGGCTCCCAAGCGATGAAATCGTCTTAGGAAGCTGCTTTGAGGTCCCGCAAAAGTTTTTTTTTGACGTTTACCCATGTATCAAACACAAAGTCTATCAAAATGGATATATTTAAGCTTAAGTTCAGCTTGGCAGACGAAAACAAGTTCAAACGGCTGATCGGTGGAACTTGAAAGTAGGCCTCCGCAGCCATGAAACTTTGAAGTATTATCCTGAGCTGTCTTTTTCAAGTTCCCTTGACAGTAGTGTTCGACGAAATTCTACTTTTAGCTTATTATAGTCCATCCAATGTAAAATTTAATTGTGAAGCTTAAAAAAAAAAAAAAAAAAAAATTCCTCCGAGGATCGAACCCGGGACCTAAGATTTACGGATTGGACACGGTGTCCACTACACCACTGCGGAACTATTGGAATTCCGCCTCAATTTAAGGTTTTTGCACAAATTATACCGCAGTTATAAAAAAGTGTAAAAATGTTAAAAATTGATTTTTTTCTGAAAAATGTTGGCATATTTGCACTCAGCGACCCAAAAAACCCCTGAAAACTCATGTTGCAAGGTATAAACATACATATCTGATTTAATGCCGCTTAAATCGGGCTATGGGACCATAGTGCGACGTTGCACGACAACAAATGGCGTTGAAAGCTTTAACAGCAAGCTTTGCGGGGAGTTTTACTATCATCATCCGAATGTCTACGAAGCCTCTCAACAATTTTTTAACGCTCAGAATATAGTGTCTTTGAAAATTAAATCCGTGCAAAATGATGAGATGTTCACTAAACGGAATGATCAACAAAAAAAGATGATGAAATTATTGTTTTAACCAATTCGTATCTCGATATGGACCTGAAAATTACAGAGTTTCTGAGTTTCTGATTGCTTATTGGAATTTATTTAAATGAAAATTTCCCCTTGTCCGTTTATAAATTATCCGTCCGTTGAATTGTCTTATCACGAAGCGATACTACTGACGCATCATTGAAGCGTTGCCAAATAGTGCAGTGTGCGCAAACGTTATCGGTAAAAAGTGTGCGCAAATGATATTCGTGAAAAGCGTGCGCAAACGTTATCGGTAAGAAAAGTGTGCGCAAACGTTATGCAGCCTTTCAGAGAAAAGCAAGGAAGTTAATTAATATCTTTCAAGAAAAGACCTATAAGAACAAAAAGGAAGCAGAAAACAAAAAATCCCCTGCAACATGCTGACTCATAATACCTTCAAGATTAGTATTCAAGAGTTCGAAATGTGTACAACAAGCCATTGAGAAGTTAAAACAAAATGCATATTCTTAGGTGTTGCATCAGACCTTCGTGCAAAACAATTGAAAATAGTAGATCACTTACGAAAAGACCTTTGCAACAGGGACATTCAGCTTTTTTAAAGATGCGATGATATGCTTGTCAGATAAATCATGAATATAGATCAAGGTTGGACGTGACGGTGATGGGTATGGGAGATCCAGTTCTTGTTTGCCCGAAAACTCCAATAACTTTTCTAAGCCGAGCTCCTTTGCAATTGACCTGCGTAAATTCAATACGAATGGTCACAAAGGAAAATACACTCTGAATTAAAATTTGGAAGAGAGGGCATTTTTGTCCCTGGTTTTTTAATAGCATATACAAGTGTTCTACTCCTATTTTGTTGACTTAAATATGAAGAAAACACTCTCTTCTGAAAAGTGACCTGATAAAAACCGGTATAAAACCGTCGCTCCGCGCCGGTTNTTGGGGGGGCTTCGCCCCCCCCCCCCCCCAGGACGCGCGCTTCGCGCGCGTTTTTTAGTTTGAGTGTCCGGCCTCAGTTGTTCTGTCTTTTAAGTGACCCGCGCGTCCACCGCGGGAAGAGTGTATTTTCCGAAGGGAAGAGCGGGGGTGGGGAGTTATCAATGTTTGGAGGTTAGATTTACGTTTACACTTATGGAGGCATTGATTATTCGAATAAGGACTTCATGTCGCCAGATTGCAACATCAATCCTCATGTAATGTCTGATATGAAAAAATGTCAACAAACGCTGTGGCAAGCTTGAATGACGATGGATGAATCTCCATAACCCACAGTGCGACAACATTGCCGTCTTGTCCACCAATTATCAGTCTGTAACCCACTGTGCGGCAATATAGCCATCGTGTCCACCAATTATCAGTTCATCAGTTCGTGACCCCATTGTACGACAACATTGCCGTCTTATCCACCAATTTTCAGTTCGTGACCCACTGTGCGACAACATTGCCGTCTTGTCCACCAATTTTGAGTTCGCGACCCACTGTGCGACAACATTGCCGTCTTGTCCACCAACTCTCAGTTCGTGACCCACTGTGCGACAACATTGCCGTCTTGTCCACCAATTTTCAGGTCGTGACCCACTGTGCGGCTTCCCTCCTCTTTTGCCGCACACCCCCCGCCTAAAACTTTCAAAGCTCGCCATTTTTAAACGGCTCGACCGATTTCGCTCAAATTCAATACCAGCCTAGGACTAAGTAAGATCTTCCTTCTGTAAAAATTTCGGAGGGAAAGCTTTTAATTTGCGCGAGTTATCGCGCCCACAAAATTGAACCTCCCCCCACTTCTCGCCCCCACCATTCGAAATGTAATATTTCGATCTCTGTTTTTTTCGCAGAATGGTAGTCCTGTTCCTCTACTTTACATCGCAAAAAGTTCCACCCGGAAATTTTTTAAAAAGAGGGAAATATAACCAAGCAAAAATCGGAAAAACCACGATGAGTCGGAAATACATACATAAATATATATATATGAATTCAAACGGCATGCATATTCGTAATCTACGACCCATGATCGATGCTCATTACATGGTCTTTGGTCCAGGTCTGACATCAGGGGAGAACGCAATAGTGTATTTCCTTCGGAAAATACACTAATTGCCTACTATCCACGGTTTTTGACAAAATTTTACCCTTTCATCAGTGCCGATCTCACGACCGTCACGCATCCCGGCACCATGGTTCCTACTTTGCGATGATAGAACTCAAAGAATAAAATGTTATTCAAGAACTTACACATCATTAAAAATTCCAAGTCGTTTCTCCATTGTAAAACAAAAAATAGAAGATAAAAAATCCTCATAAGGTTTCGTTCACAAGCAGATAAGAGCCTTCGAAAAAATTCACTCACGACCATCACAGCTAGACTCATCGAGATAAATGCTCATACCAAAAAGCGTGTCAGTAGCGCACACGTAATCTAATCGGCGTCAGCGTTGTCCAGGGATGCCTTTATGCGGGAGGATGTATCTTTACCAGGTTGAAGTTTTACGTGAATCGCGACGACATCACTGTGAAAGTAGTAAATCTATTCACTTGGGAACTCAAGACCGTCCCCCTCCATCAATTTATTTAGAAATTTTTTTTAAATGAAATCATGCATGCCATTTCGTTGGAGGGTATCAGCGAAGCTAGGGTATCTTGTGCTTATTGGTTCCGTTTCCAAAGATGACGGCAGGTGTTGCATTTTTGTTTTGAAACTCACGACCGTCACAAATAGCTGAAATTTAATTAGATGAAACTGTGGTAAAAAAAATTAGAAAAAATTAGGTCCACGACGATTTTAGATCTCAGAAACCGTCCAGACTTCAGAAAACACAACTTCCAGGGGCAAGGATGAACTCGATTTTTCAACTTTTTTCACCCTGAAATGTCCATTATTTGAGATTTTCGCCCAGTCACAGCTTGAGCAGGCTTGATCAAAATGGAGGGCAAGGGTTATTCAAGATCGGCGATTTTGCCCTACGCTTGGATTTTGCCCGGAGTTGGATATGTTGTTCCCTATCACAAGACACGAGTTTTTCGGGCATTGGCAAGTTTGCCCGAAATTTTTCCCGCGCGCTACAGCGTTGCCAAGTTGAAAACGGGCAAATTCCGTAAGTGGCATTAAAATTGAGCTACGAAGTTGCAGTTTTAATGAAGATTCTCTAAAAATTGCGCACTTTTAGGAAATGACCATGTTTTTAATGTCGCATTAATTTTAACATGCATTGTTGCCAATTTTTCAATTTTTAAATTCGACAACTTTTACAAATCCGCAAATACCCAAAAAAGCAAAGACATTGAATACAGGGTGCGGCAAAAGTCCCGGGACGGCTGATTATATGTTAAACGGCTACACGTAGAAAAACGAATTTTGGGGGATGTTCTTGGGTCAAAGTAAGCTACTTTTTGGCACTCCCCAAAATTTGTTTGGGGGCCCCCCTAGGGGAGGGCGGGGGGCAACTTTTTTTTTCAAGTAGCAACCCCCCCTTTGTGATACCTCATTCGAAAGATAATAAAAAAAGACAATTTTTGGCGCAAACCGCAGGTCAAAATGTTCATTTTTGACAAAATGGCGGCCGGTCAAAGTTCAAAATGGCGGAAATTTGGCATCTCCGTTGTTTATTGACGGATTGGTGTGAAACTCGAAATCCTAGGGTTTTTCGAGATGAGAAAAACGATTCTGGCATTGGTTTTCCAGAAAAGTAAGTCCTTTTCAAAATGGCGGCGGTCAAAATGGCGGCCTCGAGCGGGAAGTGGATACTTAGGTTGCATATCGTTGGATTTGCACGAAACTTGGTATCTGGGGGTATTTCGGCACGAGAAGAACAATCTTTCATTGGATACCTGAAATTTTGACAAATTCCTGAATGGCGGCGGAAAAATGACGGGAAGTCAGTTTTACGGCTCTTTACCGATTGATTAGCATGAAATTATTTGATATTTCAAGAATCTAATGAAAGATTCCGTTATAACGAGCCAAAAACCGCCAGGATATCGAATTTCATGCAAATCCAAAAGTCATACACGCACACTGAAGATACCTGGCTCGAAGGCCAATCGGAAATCCCCCGAGGGAATCGGATTGGAATCGTGCAATTGAAGATAGGAGGAAAGTGACCTGCGTATCAGACGGATGTTCTTATAATGCGTGTAGCTTGTGAAGATGACGGCATGGATAAGGAGTAATTTTGTAAGAGGTAAAAAAAGGATTTAAAATGAAGTCAATCATATAAATCAAGGGTAAAAACGAAGAACAGTGTTATGTATTGTACATAAAAAGGCATATAAAAGTTACGAGAGAGTTACTTAAAGCTATTGTCCATTTGATCTGAGACAAAGATTTGATGAAAAGCTGAAATAGAGGGGCATCGATTTCGGCAGTTTCAAAGTACCGAGATTTAAGATTATTCTACTGATCAAGATAATGTTCAAGCATTATTATCAAACTAATTTGCTAGTCGCAACTTAATATTATTAAATCTGCTCAAAAATTTCAAAATCAATACTTCAGTCACTTGTTTATGACTGGCGATCGTGGATACTGTTTATTTTCAAAAAGTATGGGTAAGTAATTGCTCTTAATTCCTTTGCATTTTTAGGCGGCTCTGTGATTAAGTGGCTGCGCTCGAGAATGGCACGCACCTCTTTTTAACGATGTTCCAGAATCTATGTCGCTCACATTTGTTTAGTAGAGTAGTTTCTAATGGTAAATTTCAAGGGTTTTTTTCATAGAAAATTGCAGAATCATGAAAAATAACTCAGTAGAAATTTCAACGAAATCCACGAATTTCCTTCACTGATGAAATATCAGTAGAGATTTTGAACCACCGCAACCAAGAAGTGCCATTCTTGCACCCAGTGTCTCAATTTTTCTGCACATTGCAGTGCAGTGGATTCTATGAAATGAGTTTTTATCATGTCCTTACTTTCCTCTATAAAATTAAAAAAACACAGCATTTATGCTATGTTTTCAGCAAAATGCTAAAGGCATTTACTTAATATTACATTTATCACAAATAAATATCAAAAACTGAAACTACACAAAGTATTTTGAAATTGAAGACACTAAGTTGACTACAATTTTCAATGAAGAACTGCTATTTCTGGCTCATATTAAGAAGAACAAAATGTGCCATTAGTTCATGATCCGTTGTTGTGTCGTGTATTAGTTTCCTGTGTAGATAGGTAATAAAACAAATGAACCAAAAATAGTAGTTCCTTAAGGCTAAATGTAGTCAAAGTTTAAAAATTATCATCGGAACATAATCATTCTTGTCTCTTGCCCGGATCATCAAGAATTTGCTCATGTAAGCATACCGTAAAAAATGACTTCTATGAATTTTTTTGTAAAACGACTTTGAACCCCTCAAAATGGCCGCCGAAAAAACAGGCATTTACGGAAATTTCAGTTTTTTCCCGAAAATGCCCATTTTTCTTTGAATCGGCTGCTCTTCCGTAAAAGTTAATGGCGGATTCTAAAAGAGCGTTGAATTTCACATCAGAACTGATTAACATCGATCATTTTAGACTCACGGTCGATCAACGGAAATACGATGTATCGAAGCTCTTCCACCCGGGCCTACCAAATCAAGTGCTGGTTAGTTACTAATTTAAGTTTACGGTTCTGCTGGAGCAAGGAAGCGTTCAATTATCACGTAATGCATCTGAAGAGGGAGGAGAGTCGGGATTCTGCCATCCAGAAAACACAAATTGTGCATTGAGAGTTGGGGGGGGGGGGG